TAATAATTTTAAAAAGAGTTTAATATATTATTAGCAAAACAGAAAAATTTTGGTGGTAAAGAACCAATATTAAAAATTGAAGTTTGTTAGAAAGAATCAATAAGATACTACAAAGGAGATAATAAAAAAATAAATTATTTAAAGATATATGTTGTGCAACCAGTTTTTGTTGCATAAATAAGAAATTTCTTAAAAAGTGATAATAGAATGGTATGTGATATGGAATTACCTTAATTAACATTTGAATCAAATATACCATATGCATTAAGATTTATGATTGAATATGATATTGTTGGTATGGGTTGGATAGAATTGAAAAACTATGTAATAAGAGATGATTAAAACAAAATATCATCTTGTTAGATAGAAATAAATGTAGATTGTTAACATGTAAAATCAATACCATTGGATGAAATATCAGATATTGCTCCATTAAGAATTTTATCATTTGATATTGAATGTGCAGCTGAGAAAGGATTTCCAAATGAAGAACATGATCCTATAATATAGATTTCTTGTATTGTTAAAGTACATAATCGAAGTGAGGAATTAATTAGAGTTGTATTTACACTTGGAGATTGTGAGAAGATTCCAGGAGCATGGGTTAAGTCTTTTTAGAAAGAGGAAGATTTACTAAATGAATTTTAAGTGTTTTTTTCAGGATTAGATCCTGATATTATAATAGGTTATAATATTTAGAATTTTGATATACCTTATATATTGAATAGAGCACATAATTTAAGATTAAAGAATTATGGTATATTTGGTAGAATACCTACAACATAATCTGTAATTAAGAATGGTAAATTCTTAAGTAAAGCAATGGGAATGAGAGAAACAAAAGATATTAATATTGAAGGGAGAATTCAATTGGATATGATGATTCACATGATGAAAGAACATAAACTTTCATCTTTTTCATTAAATAATGTTAGTTTTCAATTTTTAAAATAATAAAAAGAAGATGTACATTATTCAATTATTTATACACTTTAAAATAGTAATATATTTATTTTATAATAATTTAGAAAGTCCTGAGACAAGAAAGAGAATAGCAGTATATTGTTTAAAAGATGCAGAATTACCAATATTATTAATGGATAAATTATGTTGTCTTTATAATTATACAGAAATGGCAAGAGTTACAGGTGTACCTATTAATTATTTGTTTATGAGAGGTTAACAAATTAAGGTTGCATCTTAATTATTAAGAAAAGCCAAACATTATGATTTCATAATACCAACAGAGCATTTTAAATCTACAGATTAAGAATATTAAGGAGCATTCGTATTAGATCCAGTTAAGAATTTTTATAAGGTTCCTATTGCTACTCTTGATTTTGCTTCCTTATATCCCAGTATTATGATGGCTCATAATATGTGTTATAGTACATTGTTAAATACATCTCCAAATAGGGTTGGTTTAGAAGAGGAACAAGTTACAATATCTCCAGAAACTAATGCAATATTTGTTAAACCAAATATTAGAAAAGGAATGCTTCCATTAATTCTTGAGGATTTAATTAATGCAAGAAAGAAAGCAAAAAATTAATTAGCTTAAGAAACTGATCCATTCAAAAAAGCAGTTTTAGATGGTAGATAATTAGCATTGAAAATATCAGCTAATTCTGTTTATGGATTTACAGGAGCTTAAGTTGGTTAATTACCTTGTTTAGAAATATCAGCTTCTATTACTAGTTTTGGTAGATAAATGATTCAATTTACAAGAGATACTGTATTGGAACATTATAGTAAGAAAAATGGAGCATAATTTGATGCAGAAGTTATTTATGGTGATACAGATTCAGTTATGGTTAAATTTGGTGATTATTCAGTTGAATAAGCTATGGCTTTAGGAAGAGAAGCAGCTGCTTTGATTTCTAAAAAATTCATATAACCTATTAAACTAGAATTTGAAAAAGTTTATTATCCATATTTATTAATGAATAGAAAGAGATATGCTGGATAATTATGGACTAAACCTGATAAACCAGATAAAATTGATACAAAAGGTATAGAAAGTGTTAGAAGAGATAATTGTTTTCTTATTAGAAAAATGGTTACAGAAATTTTATACTTTTTACTTATAAAATAAGATGAAAAATCAGCTGTTTAATATACAAAAGAATAGATTAGAAATTTATATTTAAATAAAGTTGATATCTCTGAATTGGTTATTACTAAATCATTAAATAGTAAAAAAGAAGATAAAGATGGAGGTAAAGATAAAGATAAAAAGAAAAATTAAAATGAAGATGATGGAAATAAATTAACTAAAAATTATAAATAAAAATAAGCTCATGTTGTTGTTGCAGAAAAAATGCAGAATAGAGATGCTTCTAATGCTCCATCTGCTGGTGATAGAATTGCTTATATTATTATTTAAGGGGCTAAAGGATCTAAAACTTATGAAAATGCAGAAGATCCTGTGGAAGTTTTGGAAAAAGATTTTCCTATTGATTTTGATTATTATGTCAATAATCAAATCAAAAAACCAATCATGAGATTATTTGAATTTGTAATACCTAATCCAGAGAGTATCTTTGTTGGTGATCACACAATGTCAAGATATATACCAAAAGTTAATATCAATTCTGCATTGGGTAAATTTGTCTAAAAAAGAACAGCTTGTTTAAATTGTAAGAAAGTTATAAAAGAAAATGAAGCTCTATGCAATTTTTGTCATGATAAAACTTTAGAAATTATGACAAAATCATCAATTGTATTTATAATATTTTTAATAAATTTTAGAAACTTTAAGAATTATAAATTAATTATCATAAATATTGGACAACTTGTTAGAGTTGTTAAGGATCTTTATTAGGAGATATTTTATGTAGTAATAGAGATTGTGAAATTTATTATAAAAGAATCAAGGTTTAACGTGATCTTAAGGAATAATGGGATGAAATTGATAAATTATATGCTTAATAATAATGAACTTTAAATTTTTATATTTAATCTTTTATTTTTAGAGTATGAAATTAATCATATAAATTATTTCATTTTTATTTTATAAAAATTAAAAATCCTATTGTTGTTATTGAAATTCTTTTTTTCTTATAATAAATCATCATAATTGAATATATAATCTTTATATTTACAATTTATTTAATAATTTTATAATCTTATGATTAAATAAATTATTATATATATATATAAATTATAATATTAAATTAATCATAAATTAAGGTTAAATAATGAATAAATCAATTCATAATTTTGCAAAAATTTCCTCAAGTATTCTTTCCTAAGTTGAAACATCCAAAGATTTTATTGCTAATAATTAGTACATATATTTTTTTTATTATTATTTCTCTTTAGTCATTTTCAAAATCTAATTCTTTACTTCCACATTACATATCCAACCTTATAATATAATATTTAAATCATAAATGTCTGTTTATTATAAATGTTATAATAGGAAAAATGCACTTTCTTCAGTAATTTTACTACCATTCATTCCCAAACCTGTTAAGTCCAAATGAAGTTTTTCTAAATCTAAAGTGAATATCTTCTCAATCAAATATTAGAGATCCTCATTTAAAAATAATTCTAAGGATCTATTATAATCATTTCCCCAACTAATATTATAATTAAAATAGAATAGTACTCTGCCAAATTCAAAGTTAAATTTTTTAAATTCTCTAAATTTTCAATGAAATCACCCATAGCCACAAATGAATGTCCAGTAATGTTTTGATTTCTATATCCTAATCTTGAAATCTTGTCAATTATACTTGTTAAGATTTAGCTCCAATTCCTAAATTTATTATGGAAGACTCTTAAATAATTAAACTACCCCAATATTTGATATCTTGCATCCCTTATGTCCCCATTATTAAAGATTTAATCTTAAAATCTTTAGATTTTTAAAGGCCTTTCCTAAATGAATGAAGGCTATGTCAGAAATGTTATAATTTTAATTTCCCCAATTATTTAAGGAAAGTTCCAATAAGTTTGTAGGCATTAAATTACCAAAATATTAGAAACATTAATCAGTAATTTATGTACAAGATCTTGGCCTTAAGATTATAATATTGTTTACTAAAATAAATCTAAATTGATTTAGATATCATCTAAGTTTTAGATAGCTTCACAAAGTCTTCTGACTCTTTCATCAGTCCAGAAATATTCTATATTCATAATGACATGAGATGTTATATTAAGGTTAGTTAATCTTTCATCATCTACATTATATAAATTCATAATGATATAAAATAATAAATCAAATAATGGTTATTTGTTATTTTTAATGCAAATTCTTCTTTAATTAAATTATTTATGATAAATACTTATGTGTCTTCATATCTATAATTTAGTTCCTCTTTAGAAATAAACTACTCAAATTTAAATTACTAAATTAAACTATTTTAGTTATAAATATTTAATTCTTTTTTATTATAGAATGCCTAGAATACCTAAAAACTATAGTCTATTTTTTTAACATCTAAATCAAAACTCACTTAGATTTCATATGATTATATTTTGATATATGAATGATTGGCAATAATAATAATATAAAAATAGATTTAAAATATTATATTTGATATATCAAATACCATGAACTTTAATATTATCTTATAATGCTATTCCTTCTTCTACTAAAAATTTTGCAATTTATTATCTATTATCTCCTGTCAATCTAATTGTTACTTAATCTCCATAATCTTCATCTTTTGAAATAATACCACCAGTACAATTAAATTACTATTATTAGGAATAAAAATTACTTTCTTCCAAAATCTAATAATTTTATTTAAATCAAATTCATCTGGAATGCCAACAATTATTGTTTGTGTTTTTCTAGCACTTCTCTTTTTTAAATGAATATCTAGTATTAATTATAATTCTTACGAATCACAAAATTGAAGTTTGCCATTTCATCAAATTCATTTTAATTATCAAATTGGTTGTCAGTCATTCAATATAAATTAAAACTAATTTATTTATTAAAATAATAAATTAATAATTATTAATATAGAAAATAGATATAACTTTCACAATTAACCATTCTCCCATCTTCTTGCAAATAAGATAGGATCATTAAATTATTTAAGATTATCATTGATTACTTCTTGTATTATCAATAAATCTTTTGAATTCAATTATTTATTTACTTATTATAAGTTTTAATATAATAATTTTGAAAATCCTTTTGTAAATTATTCTAAATCATTATTGAAATATTGATTAAATTTTCTATCTTGATTAGTATAAAATACAGGAACTACCTTTACATGATATTATTCAAAACTTTCAATCCATTAAGAGAGAGTTTCTTGAAAATTGAGAGGACAAAACTTTTTAATAGCATTAGCTTTCAAAGCCAACAATTTTCTCAATAAAAAAAAGCATTTTTACTTCTCTTCAGTATTAATCTAATCAAAATTTTTAAGAATTTAATTTAAATATACCAAAAACTTGTAAGTAGGTTATATTGTAGCTGATAAAGATTCGCTGTTTTAATTTAATGCTTATTATTCTTTAATCTTCATCTTCTATTCTGAATCTTAAAATTTACTGACTGAAGTTGAACCTCTTATTTTCTATTATGATTAATTATTATTCTTATTAAAAGGCCTACTAGAATTAATATTATAATCTAATAAATTTTAGTAAGATGAAACAGCTTTAAGCTATTTCTTAGGAGAAATAATCAAATCATTATTTTTAGTAGTATTACAATTTTGTTATAGTTTATTATCTATAGTACCATTAAATGCATTTTCAATATTAGCAAATAAAGTATTAACAATTATTTATGCATTTTGAGATTAATGATTAGAAGACTAAGAGTTTTTTACAGTTTCATTTGTACTATTAGATTTTGCATTTTATTATGAATCACTATTTTCTGAAATCTATTTATGTTTTTCTAATTTTTATATATGATTTGATTAGACAATAGGTATTTATATTTAAACTTTTCGTTTAGAAGAACTTGTATTTTCTTTTATTTTATTTTCAGTTTATTGTTATGAACAAAAACCTTTAGATAACTCTTATAGTTCTTGATCATTTATATCAATATTACGTTATGTTTAATTATGTCTACATGTATTAGGTACTATTTATTAATCAATATTTTCAACTGGTAATGTTTTTAATGGTTTTGAGATCTATTTTGAATTATGATAATCTGCATGAGCACTTGATCTCCTTAAAATCTTACAGACAATATTCTGATGTGAATTACATTGTAATTTCTTTTAACTTTATAAATTTTATAATATCTAATCTATAGAAAATCTTTTAAAAGGATCTAGTTCTAGCATTCCAATAAGAATATTTTAGATTTTTTTAGATAGATTTCTATCATTTCTAATATTTGCATGTACCTCTTACTATCTATTCTTAATATCTTCTTGTTTTTTTTAATTAAATGGCAATTCTTTAAATAACATTAAGTAAAGAACAACTCCTAACGACCATATGTCAGATTTTTCAGAATACTAATTTAACTGAACAGTTTCTGGTGCCATATAGACTGGAGTTCCTACATGAAATTTCTTTATTATGCTCTCAAAATCATTTTCTACAATCGCAAATCCAAAATCAGATAATTTATATATACCATTCAATCTTAAAATGTTTGCAGGCTTTATATCTCTATGTATTATTTCTAAATATAATAAGAATGCAGTTACTTTAATCATGAAGAGCCTTTACTCCTTTTGATATTTAAGTAAATATATCAATACTTTCTTTTATTGTTAAGTTAGTTGACTTTAAAATATTTGCTAAATCACCATCACTACAGTATTCACATATGAGATATGTATTGTTTGTTGTTTGAAATGCTTCATATACTTTCATGAGATTCTCATGGTTTAGTTACTTTATTATGGCTATTTCATTTTTTAACAAACTTTATGAAATAGGAGTAACCAAGGTTTAAAAGTTTATAACTTTGATAGCCACAACCTATTTTGTATCATTATGTATCCCTTTATACACTTTAGAAGAATAGCCTTCCCCTAAGATGTCGTTTAGAAAGTATGAATATTTATAAACAGTCTTTTGTATTTGCTATTTAGCTTCAATCATTTTTAATGATTAAATTTAAACTTAAAAAAATTATTTTGATGTTTGTTTTTTTATGAATGGTTAATCAATATGATTTAAAAGTTATATATACTTATCTTTGTAATATTTTATAAAATTAATAAATCTATTCTAATATAAAATTTCATGAAATAATCATATATTTAAGAAAATTAAAATAGTTGTTAATTTTACTTAAATTTATTTAATATTCTTAAAGAAATATTCATCATTTTTATTAACTTAACTAAATATAATAAAGTTAAAAATATATCACAATTTTTTTTTTCCACCAGATTTTTAAGGCTATTCATTCTTTTTATTCGATTTCCCTTTTGCTTTGCTATTATTTGGATGTATTATTTTTGTGGTTTTACCAAAGAAATTCTCCAATCTACTTTAAAATCCTGTATGATCTTTTTTAGCAATTCTTTTTAATCCATTATCAATTCTTGATTCTGCAAAACCTTTTTCTTCTATAAGGAATTTCTTAAGATTATCAACATCAGGCTTATTCCAAATTAACTAAAATAATAATATAGGATATATTTTTACTTAAATTTCTTCTCCTTTTTATACTTATGGAGTAATGAACAGTTCTCTACTATCTTCATACAAAAATTTTGAAGGCACTGTATATTTTGGATTTTAATTATTTTTTACTCTTTCTGCATTTACTTTCTATACATGTTCTAAAATTCCTTCAATATTTTTAAACTCTTTTATTAATTTATAAGCTGTTCCAGGTCCTATACCTTCAATTTTTTCAGTATAATCACATCCACACTAAAAAAATGAATTTTATAAATATTTTACTAAAATGCATAAATCAACAAATTATTCATAAGTTAATTCTAATTCTTTTATCATATCATCATAAATAATTTCATAAATAGGTTCCTTTTTTGTATTGAATCCTCTTAATAAAATTGGAGTCCTAAATGTCAAAGCATCCATATCTTCAGTTGCTGTAGCATATATCTTTCCTGCTCTACATAATTCAGCACATTAAGCTTCTGCTTCACATGGTGCTATTATGATAGGGCAACCCAGTAATTTTAACATTTTAATTGCATCATCTTTCATTATACTAGTGATTGTAGTTGTTCTTTGATTTTAAAGCAAAGCCTATTGCATATCACCTTTTTCAAGAGCCAACTCAGTTTTAACTTAAGCCTCTTCTTTTAATTTCTTTCTTCTTGCTAATTCACCACTTTTTAATTAAGGAGGCTTTCCATCAAATACCCAAACAGGTTTAATACCATTTTCAAGAAATTACAATGTTCTATTAAATAACCCAACCAAATGTCCAGTTCTATTACCATCTTTATCTGTTAACTCTATAATTTATGTTTATCCTGCAGATTGTGTTTAAATTAAAAATTAATACATAGCCATAGATGCATCACAACCGATTGTTCTATATGTTAAATAATACTAATACCTTCCTGCAAAATAGTCAAGCATCAAAGTTCTAAAACAATTTGGTGCTTTTTCTTTTAGAAATTACATAAGTTGATGAATTCCCATGTTTAATAATTATTTAATAAAGCGGCAAAGTTAAATACGATTATACATATATATATTTTTGGAATGATCATCATTTTTATGTGTCAACAAAGACATAATTTTTATTTAATTTTTCAATATCTTTCTCCAATTAAGCCAATTCCTTCTCACATTACTCTTTTCTATAAAAATAATATGGATTTATTATTACTTTCTCTTTAATCCAACAGTATCAATCATTCGAATATGTGTAATTGATTAGTATTCTTTATTAACAGATTCCCATTTCTTTTTTAATCCCTTTTTTAATTATTCAACTTCTTCTTATGTCATCAAATATTTTTATTTATCCATTTCTTCAGCTTCACTTATATGCATATTTCTAATAATTTCATATTCACTTGAAATGCTTTATTATATTTTTGTAAGATAGTCAGGTACCTTACCATAGTCCTTTTTTTCAGTCCATGGTTTTTCATCTACTATTTATTTTGGTGCACTTAGAATATTTTCTACTGCATTTGTCACTATGAAATTTTTATTTGATTTAAGTCCATGAATAGGCTTTTCATCCTTTTTGGGTACAGGAGGTCTGACTGAAGGAGGATATTTATATTGTTTAACTATTTCATGATTATAATATATTACCTTCTGGGAGTTGGTTTGATCCCATTGTTCCAGTATTTTTCAATCTGAACATAGTAGAATCAGGTTAGTATGATCCTATAAAAATTCAAAGTGAAATTACCCCTAGGTCTTCCAAGAGAATTGGATTATCCCTTATGAGTATGTGGTCCCCNGCTCTACATAATTCAGCACATTAAGCTTCTGCTTCACATGGTGCTATTATGATAGGGCAACCCAGTAATTTTAACATTTTAATTGCATCATCTTTCATTATACTAGTGATTGTAGTTGTTCTTTGATTTTAAAGCAAAGCCTATTGCATATCACCTTTTTCAAGAGCCAACTCAGTTTTAACTTAAGCCTCTTCTTTTAATTTCTTTCTTCTTGCTAATTCACCACTTTTTAATTAAGGAGGCTTTCCATCAAATACCCAAACAGGTTTAATACCATTTTCAAGAAATTACAATGTTCTATTAAATAACCCAACCAAATGTCCAGTTCTATTACCATCTTTATCTGTTAACTCTATAATTTATGTTTATCCTGCAGATTGTGTTTAAATTAAAAATTAATACATAGCCATAGATGCATCACAACCGATTGTTCTATATGTTAAATAATACTAATACCTTCCTGCAAAATAGTCAAGCATCAAAGTTCTAAAACAATTTGGTGCTTTTTCTTTTAGAAATTACATAAGTTGATGAATTCCCATGTTTAATAATTATTTAATAAAGCGGCAAAGTTAAATACGATTATACATATATATATTTTTGGAATGATCATCATTTTTATGTGTCAACAAAGACATAATTTTTATTTAATTTTTCAATATCTTTCTCCAATTAAGCCAATTCCTTCTCACATTACTCTTTTCTATAAAAATAATATGGATTTATTATTACTTTCTCTTTAATCCAACAGTATCAATCATTCGAATATGTGTAATTGATTAGTATTCTTTATTAACAGATTCCCATTTCTTTTTTAATCCCTTTTTTAATTATTCAACTTCTTCTTATGTCATCAAATATTTTTATTTATCCATTTCTTCAGCTTCACTTATATGCATATTTCTAATAATTTCATATTCACTTGAAATGCTTTATTATATTTTTGTAAGATAGTCAGGTACCTTACCATAGTCCTTTTTTTCAGTCCATGGTTTTTCATCTACTATTTATTTTGGTGCACTTAGAATATTTTCTACTGCATTTGTCACTATGAAATTTTTATTTGATTTAAGTCCGTGAATAGGCTTTTCATCCTTTTTGGGTACTGGAGGTCTGACTGAAGGAGGATACTTATATTGTTAAACTATTTCATAATTATTATGCATTACCTTCAGGCAATTGGTTTGATCCCATTGTTCCAGTATTTTTCAATCTGAACATAGTAGAATCAGGTTTGTATGATCCTAAAAAAATTCAAAGTGAAATTACCCTTAGGTCTTCCAAGAGAATTGGATTATCCCTTATGAGTATGTGGTCCCCTAACTAACTCAAAGTTTCCATTGATATTATTAACCTGAATAAAATAATACAACTACTTTAGGTCGACTAGTTGTATGATTATTAAATGTGCTGCCAGTTGGTGTCAATCCACTTGGATATGCCGATCGATACATTGGTTCTTTTGGAGGAGGTACATATTCCTTAGGAATCAAGTTATATATGCTTTCCTGTTACATAATTATAATATATATATTAATAAAATACCATATATTATTTTAATCATTATAGATTTACTTTAATATTTCTAAAGAATAGAATGATATTATTCAATATCTTCCTTTTATCCTGGATATCTGAACATTTTTTTATTTGAGCTTATGATTTTCTATTAAGCTATATATACTTTTAAATTAATTCTAATAAAATGATATAGATAACAATCAAATTATTTATTCTAAGTAATTATTTACTAATATCAACATAAGTTGAGTTCTTTTTCTAAATAATCTTGATTATTAATTATAATCCTTTATAACTTTGAAAATAATCTTAATTTTCTTCTTTAATTAATAAATCTCTTCAGATTGATTTGTATATCTCATTCTCAAATAAAAGTTTAGTTTATGATAATATTCCAATCAAAATATCAATACCTTTATTTATTTTCATCATATAATTCATTATTCTATAATCTAAATTACAAATCCTATTTTTATTCATTCTTTATTCTTTATATCTCATTTTTTCTTCTTAATATTATTTCATTGTGAATTTCTATCTTGAATCCATAATTATTTTATTTATTTAAATTAAGAACCAAAAAATAATATTTTTGACTCAGAATACCTCCTCAACAGATCATTAATTCTGTAATACAGAACATCATATTTGGCTATAATATCATCATAAAAATTTAAATAAATCATTGTAAAATTCTATTTAATACAGCTTATTCTATTGATCATAAATTATGGTATTAATAGATTACAAGCATTATTAAATCCTTATGATAAAAATCTAATTATTATTGAAAGAGATTATTAATTTAGTTTTATATATAAATAATAATATCATGGGCTCATGTAATTAATGCATTTAGAAACAAGAGCTATAGAAATCAGGAAGAAATTAGAATGTTGTAATTTATTAATCAGCATAAAATCATAAAATGGCAATAAAAATTCAATCCGCATATAGATCATATGTAACTAGATAAAAATTCAAGTAAATTAAGATATTTTTATTTGAAGTTTAAAATTAGCAGAAATAAGAGCAAGAAATCATATAATATGCAATTCAACTGAAGATTTTTTAATTGAGTATCATACATGCTCTTATTCTCCAAAAATTAATTAATTTGATGGTTCAAATGCATTTTCTAGCATATAAAACAATCAAAAAGAATCAGCTCTCTCAATTTTTAGTCGTCAATAAAGTCTTAAATTACAACCTAAAGAATCTGATTCGTTCGATTTTGAAGAATTGGATTAATATAACTAAACTCCATAAAATAAACTTATATACTCTCCTAATAAAAGTTTAAGATCTCTTAAAAATTAAAAAGAGAAAATAAATTCATTTAAATTTCGTTGTGTTATGACTCTAGAAATACTTGAGACAAATGATAAAATTAAATTATAATAAAAAAATAAAAGATAAAAATTCGATACTATTAAATTAATTGGTGGTAATACCTATAATGGAGAATGGTTAGATTCATTACCTGATGGTAAAGGTAAATACACTTTTTCTGATTAATCCTATTATATAGGAGATTTTATGAAAGGTTAATTTCATGGTAAAGGTGAATTTAAAAGTAAGGAAGGAACCTATTATCGTGGATAATGGTAATACAATCAAATGCATGGTTAAGGTATTTATAATTATAATAATGGATGTAAATATGAAGGTATTACTTATTAATATTAATTATCATAAAGGTAGTTGGGAAAAAGATATGCCTAATGGATAAGGAATAGAATGGTATGCTAATGGTTCTGTTTATGTTGGTACATTTCTAAATGGAGAAAAACATGGAAAAGGAAAGATTACATTTAATGCAGGAGAAATATATGAAGGAGAATTTCAATTTGATAATTTTAATGGATAAGGAATATATGTAAATACTCATATTTATATATTTAATTTAGAGATGGTAAGATGGAAGAATCTATTAAGGAGAATGGGTTAATGGTAAAATGAATGGAAAGGGAATCTTGAATTGGCCTGATGGTCGTTTCTATAAGGGCTAATATTTAAATGATTAAAAACATGGATTTGGAATATTTTCTTTTTCTGATGGTAGAAAATATATTGGTCAATGGAAGTATGGTCTATAGAATGGATAAGGAGAATTTCATAAAGGAGATGGGTCAAAATAGATAACCAAAGGAATTTGGAAGTAAGGGTAATTAGTTAAATTGCTCTGATCTTAACTGCTATAATTTTATTTATTTTTCTTTTTTTATATAAATGAGTAGCGATTTACTTATTCAATAATCCCAAGTTTTTTACTTGTTAAGAGAAGGTCTATGGAAATCAACATAGGTGCTATGTCATAAGGTAATTTAAGATAAATTTACGTAGTTTTATCAAAGAACTCAAGATCCATTCTTTCAATTTTGGAGGGCGTTCTGCTATTTCAAAAGTGGAAGTTTGAATGAAGCAATAAATGAGTTAACACTTATTAGAAATAAAAAAGAATTTTAATTTGCAACTTCAGCCGCACTTATCTACTATTCTTAGCAATAACGTGGTGTTGATAGGGTATTATTGAAATTTTAATTCTATAGGAAATCATAGAAACTTGCAGACAGATGTAAAGTGAGGGTCGAAAGACTCCAAATGATCGAGCATTTTAGAGTGCCATTTATTTTTATTTATTCGTAGATGAAGGTAGAAAGGCTAAGGAAGTTTTGGAATTATTATCATAAGGATAGCCTATAAGTTAAATCACTTTAGGGTGGTATAAATTATTATAAAAGGAAGAGTAAATCAATCCAAGTGATATTCTTGATTACTTTTAGAGTATTGGTAGTATTTATATTAATATTTTGATTAGGGTAATTCAATTAAAAGCCAATTGAATATTTGCTAGGTTTAGCAAAGGCATCAGAAATAAATAAAAAGTATCCAATTACTTTAGATGCTTTAAATGAATTAATGATAGTTTGGAGAGATTTTCCATTTACAGATGTTGAAAAGTTGCGATTTAGTATATTTATATAAGATTGGGAATAATTTTAGGATTTAGCAAATAAAATACTCTATGATGATCCAACAAATATATTTGGATTGAAAGCTATAGCATTTTACAATTTAGCAAGAAAAGGTGATGTAAGAGAATCATTAGAAAAAATTGAAGAATTATTTAATGCTATTTAAAAATAAGAAGAAGACAATGTTTAATTAATTTTGAATTGTTGTTAATTGTTATCAAGAGTTTCAGGTAGAAATCAATAAATTCTCTAATTGACAATGAGTTAAATTTAGAAAACAAGAAAAATAGCTCCATTATTAGGTGATTTGTGTTTAGAATTAGCTTAAGAAACTTTGATGTTAGAAGACTATGAAAAAGCTTATGGTTTTTTCTAAGAAGCAGCAGCATTAGATGAAGGAAGAATGGAATCTTTAGCTGGAATGATTTAATGCAAAATATTATAAGGAGTAATTGATGATGCAGAAAAATAATTAGAATTTGTTTAAGAAGTATAAGTTTCTGTTGGCAGAACTACTGAAATTGCTTTTTTATAAGCCTTATTAGAAAGTAAGAAATCAGAAGGTACAGACTCTCCTATTGCTTAATAATTTATTGAAGAAACACTTAAACTTCATTTAACTTAAAGTAAATTATTACTACCTGGATATGAATTTTATATAAAGTTTAATCCAGATTTCACATTTACAATAGCTTAAATGTATCTTAGAAATCTATCCACCAACTTAATGTTAGCAGGTAAAGAATTACCAACTTCAGGTATTGGAAAAGGAACAAAACTATTAGAAAGTATAGCAAGATAAGCTCCTGGATTAACAAATGTTTAGTTATTATTATCAACTGGTAAAATGGCATTAGGAGATCCACAAGAAGCATTGAAAACTATTAATAGAGTGTTAGAATTAGATCCTAAAAATGAAGATGGATATATATTACATGCATTAATTTCTATTAAGACTAAATAAATTAATTTAGCAGCAAATTCTTTGAATTAAGCCATATCTAATAATTTTGCAATAAGAGAAAATCCATTATTTATGTTAGTTAAGGGAGAGGTTGAGTATAGAACTGAAGATTATAAGAATGCATAAATAACATTAGAAGCAGCTTATGAACTAGTTGCAGGAAAATATAAGAATAAAATTAAAGTTAAATCAAAAATTGTATAATTTACAGAAAAAGATAAATGTCAAGTTTTTGTATTATTAGCTAAAGTGTATGCAATTAATAAAAAAGAAACTGAAGCAAAAAAGATTATGTAAAAAGCTATCTAGGAATATGCAGGTAGTCCTCATGAAAGCACAATTATGATGGCTAATAGTGAAATTGCTATAGAAAGTGGAGATATTAAGAAAGCAATTAATATTCTTAAGGCTGTTTAAAGTGGATAACCAAATTTTGTTAATTCAAGAATCATATTAGCTGATGTCTATTTAAAGTATTTAAAAGATCGAAGAAATTATACAAAATGTTATGCTGAAATTATTGAAGCTGAACCAACAGCAGAAAATTATAAATTAATTGGAGAAGCATTTATGAAAATAAATGAACCTTAAGAAGCAGTTTTAAGTTATTAAAAAGCTGCTGAATTGAATCCAGAAGATGAAGAAATTACAAGAATTATTGGTAATGCACTTACAATGACATATGATTATCAGAAAGCAGTTAATTATTATGAAGCTGCTTTATAAAAGACTCCAGGAAGACAAGATTTATTAGTAGATTTAGGCAGATTATATTTGAGAATGAATAATATTAAAAAAGCAGAATAAATTTTAGTTTGGGAGAAATTTATTACTGATGATTATGCTGCACCAACATTGACAACTTTAAAAGCAAATGCTTAAGGATTTCTGTTAATTGCAAGAATGGTTACTAAATTATAATAGGCTACATTTAATTAAGCATAAAATGCTGAAAAAGAGAAAATCTAATAATAATTGATGGCAGAATCTTAAAAATTAATAGAAAAAATAAGAAAGGCATTTGAATTTGCGGTCTAAACATAAAAAGATGTTATTGAAAAAAGTAAATAAGAAGCTGCTAATGTAAATAAGGAAAAGGAATAATTAGGATTAATATTTTTAGAATAAGCTAGGTATTTCTTTTATAATGAAAGAAATTACAAGGCAACATTAGATTGTATAGATGATGGTATTAAATTCATACCTACAAATGAAAGTTTGATTTAGTTATAAGCAGAAACATTTTATTAAAATGGTGATAAGATTTCATGCGAATAAAAATTAAAAATATTATAAAAATTGAATCCAAAAAATGATTATGCTTCAATGATGTTGTCAGAANGTTAGAATTAGATCCTAAAAATGAAGATGGATATATATTACATGCATTAATTTCTATTAAGACTAAATAAATTAATTTAGCAGCAAATTCTTTGAATTAAGCCATATCTAATAATTTTGCAATAAGAGAAAATCCATTATTTATGTTAGTTAAGGGAGAGGTTGAGTATAGAACTGAAGATTATAAGAATGCATAAATAACATTAGAAGCAGCTTATGAACTAGTTGCAGGAAAATATAAGAATAAAATTAAAGTTAAATCAAAAATTGTATAATTTACAGAAAAAGATAAATGTCAAGTTTTTGTATTATTAGCTAAAGTGTATGCAATTAATAAAAAAGAAACTGAAGCAAAAAAGATTATGTAAAAAGCTATCTAGGAATATGCAGGTAGTCCTCATGAAAGCACAATTATGATGGCTAATAGTGAAATTGCTATAGAAAGTGGAGATATTAAGAAAGCAATTAATATTCTTAAGGCTGTTTAAAGTGGATAACCAAATTTTGTTAATTCAAGAATCATATTAGCTGATGTCTATTTAAAGTATTTAAAAGATCGAAGAAATTATACAAAATGTTATGCTGAAATTATTGAAGCTGAACCAACAGCAGAAAATTATAAATTAATTGGAGAAGCATTTATGAAAATAAATGAACCTTAAGAAGCAGTTTTAAGTTATTAAAAAGCTGCTGAATTGAATCCAGAAGATGAAGAAATTACAAGAATTATTGGTAATGCACTTACAATGACATATGATTATCAGAAAGCAGTTAATTATTATGAAGCTGCTTTATAAAAGACTCCAGGAAGACAAGATTTATTAGTAGATTTAGGCAGATTATATTTGAGAATGAATAATATTAAAAAAGCAGAATAAATTTTAGTTTGGGAGAAATTTATTACTGATGATTATGCTGCACCAACATTGACAACTTTAAAAGCAAATGCTTAAGGATTTCTGTTAATTGCAAGAATGGTTACTAAATTATAATAGGCTACATTTAATTAAGCATAAAATGCTGAAAAAGAGAAAATCTAATAATAATTGATGGCAGAATCTTAAAAATTAATAGAAAAAATAAGAAAGGCATTTGAATTTGCGGTCTAAACATAAAAAGATGTTATTGAAAAAAGTAAATAAGAAGCTGCTAATGTAAATAAGGAAAAGGAATAATTAGGATTAATATTTTTAGAATAAGCTAGGTATTTCTTTTATAATGAAAGAAATTACAAGGCAACATTAGATTGTATAGATGATGGTATTAAATTCATACCTACAAATGAAAGTTTGATTTAGTTATAAGCAGAAACATTTTATTAAAATGGTGATAAGATTTCATGCGAATAAAAATTAAAAATATTATAAAAATTGAATCCAAAAAATGATTATGCTTCAATGATGTTGTCAGAATTAGTTTTATAATAAGATGATAGTGAAAAATCAATTTAATAATTTGTTTAAACCTTATAAGAGAAACCAAATTCTTTTGGAACTTTATCTAAAGTAATAGATTGGTATAGAAAGTAAAATAGATTAGATGAAATTTAAATTATTATTGATAATTGTGCTAAAGCTACATAAAACTAAAATGAACCAGGATTATGTTTTTGTAGAGGATTGTATTATAAATATAAAAATTAACCAAAAGAAGCATTGATATAATTTAATTATGCAAAGAAACATTAATAATATGCTGAAGACAGTTTGACTTATATGATTGATTTGTATTTGAATCCTGATTAAGATCTTTATTATTCAATAACAGATGAATAACCAAAACCAGTTNTCCTCATGAAAGCACAATTATGATGGCTAATAGTGAAATTGCTATAGAAAGTGGAGATATTAAGAAAGCAATTAATATTCTTAAGGCTGTTTAAAGTGGATAACCAAATTTTGTTAATTCAAGAATCATATTAGCTGATGTCTATTTAAAATATTTAAAAGATCGAAGAAATTATACAAAATGTTATGCTGAAATTATTGAAGCTGAACCAACAGCAGAAAATTATAAATTAATTGGAGAAGCATTTATGAAAATAAATGAACCTTAAGAAGCAGTTTTAAGTTATTAAAAAGCTGCTGAATTGAATCCAGAAGATGAAGAAATTACAAGAATTATTGGTAATGCACTTACAATGACATATGATTATCAGAAAGCAGTTAATTATTATGAAGCTGCTTTATAAAAGACTCCAGGAAGATAAGATTTATTAGTAGATTTAGGCAGATTATATTTGAGAATGAATAATATTAAAAAAGCAGAATAAATTTTAGTTTGGGAGAAATTTATTACTGATGATTATGCTGCACCAACATTGACAACTTTGAAAGCAAATGCTTAAGGATTTCTGTTAATTGCAAGAATGGTTACTAAATTATAATAAGCTACATTTAATTAAGCATAAAATGCTGAAAAAGAGAAAATCTAATAATAATTGATGGCAGAATCTTAAAAATTAATAGAAAAAATAAGAAAAGCATTTGAATTTGCAGTCTAAACATAAAAAGATGTTATTGAAAAAAGTAAATAAGAAGCTGCTAATGTAAATAAGGAAAAGGAATAATTAGGATTAATATTTTTAGAATAAGCTAGGTATTTCTTTTATAATGAAAGAAATTACAAGGCAACATTAGATTGTATAGATGATGGTATTAAATTCATACCTACAAATGAAAGTTTGATTTAGTTATAAGCAGAAACATTTTATTAAAATGGTGATAAGATTTCATGCGAATAAAAATTAAAAATATTATAAAAATTGAATCCAAAAAATGATTATGCTTCAATGATGTTGTCAGAATTAGTTTTATAATAAGATGATAGTGAAAAATCAATTTAATAATTTGTTTAAACCTTATAAGAGAAACCAAATTCTTTTGGAACTTTATCTAAAGTAATAGATTGGTATAGAAAGTAAAATAGATTAGATGAAATTTAAATTATTATTGATAATTGTGCTAAAGCTACATAAAACTAAAATGAACCAGGATTATGTTTTTGTAGAGGATTGTATTATAAATATAAAAATTAACCAAAAGAAGCATTGATATAATTTAATTATGCAAAGAAACATTAATAATATGCTGAAGACAGTTTGACTTATATGATTGATTTGTATTTGAATCCTGATTAAGATCTTTATTATTCAATAACAGATGAATAACCAAAACCAGTTGCAGTAGAAAATCTAAAGGCTTGTGATTAATTACTTAAGGAACTTTAAAATAGAGGGAGTATGTCAAGGTATATTCAATTCTCTATATTATAGATATTTGGTTATGTAGGCTTATGTATTATAATTGTCAGGTATACCAAAATCTATAGAAATGGCTAGTACTATATTAGCACAAATATTAAAAAGCAATAAAGAATGGGTTCCAGCAATGTTGAGTTTAGCTATAAATAAATTCTTAAGTAAAAAATAAACTGAAGGAAAGACAATTTTAAAATTGTTATGGGCAAAGTAAGCTGATACAAGTGGTTGGGAAAGAGATGAATTAGAAAGAGCATGGTTATTGCATGCTGATGCATTTATATCTATTTAAAAATATGATTAGGCTGAAGAAATTTTAAGAAAATGCTTGAAATAAAATAAATGTTGTGCTAAAGCTGAAGAATTAATGGGTTTAATAAAGGAAAAAGAGTAATCATATATTGATGCTTCTAACTCATATGAAAAAGCATTCAAATTAACAAATCAAAGAAATCCTGTTATGGGTTATAGATTAGCATTTAACTATTTAAAAGCAAAAGTAAAAATAAATCATATAAACTTAGCGTTTTGTTGATGCTATAAATATTTGCAAATTGATTCTACAAATAAATCCTGCATTTCCTAAACTGCAATCTGAAATCCTGAGCAAAGCAATTCAAGCCTTAAAACCTTGAAAAATTAAATAATAGTATTATAATCAATTTAAATTATTATAACATAAAATTCTACTCAAAATCATTAATTTGAATTATTATTTAATATTTATATCTTAAATACATATGTATCCTTAATAAAGTAAACAAGCACAAGAAGATTAAGACTAAATCATAATCTTAATTTAAATGTGATAATTTATTTTAATAATAAAATAGAAATTTATATAATGAATGATTTGGCTCATAAAAACAATTCTTCTTCTCTTTTAATCAAATTGCTTGTTAAATCAATTAGATTTAAGACTTTGTTTACATTGTCACCCCACTCTTATAATACATCATTTTCATTCATCTTTAACTAATAATCAACTATTCCTTTTATTCTATCAATCTTGCATTTAAGTAACTTAAATAATTAAATAAAAATAATACTTTTTAATCCATCATTATGCAGATTTCTTCCTCTAATTCTTGAGTACTAATTCCAATTAACTCTGTTATTCTATTAAGGTAGACAGAATCATAATAGATCTAAAAAATTCTTAAATTATGATGTATTAATTATCTTCTAAAGTCTAAGAATATTTTATTTAATAAATACCTTTATATCTTTATTGATTATTCTCTATACCTTCATCAAATATTTCAGCTGCTTGGATATTATGAGTTTATGGTTCAGTGCTAATCAATTCAGTTCCTAAAAAAGCTTAAATCAATTATTATAGATTAGGTAATGCTTCAAGACCATATTTATATGTTGTTATAATATTCTACAATTATTTTTACTAATTTATATTGTTTTTTTAAAATACCTTATCATCAGAATATTGACTTAATATTGTATATAAAGCATAATTTTCTAAGATTGTATTATAATCAATTTTGAAATTGAAATCAACTTTTGTTGCTTCTAATTATCTATTTTTATGTAATGATTCTAATATTTTAGAATAAGCATGAGCTGTTTCTTGATAATTATTTTCATGTCTATAATAAATAACTAAGAATGAATAATAAATAATCTTAAGATCTGCTATATTATCATCTTCAATATTTTTTGGTTCTATCTTCTTTGAAATTATGAATAATCTAACATAATCTAATTTCTTAATCATAATTTTCATTTAATATAAAATGAATTCTAATTTTTCTCTTTTATCCATAGATCCATAAGTTTCAACTTAGACTTCTTATAATATTTTAGCAGCATCAGCAATTTAATTATCATCTTCTTTATATTATGTAAGCATCAATACACAACGAGCATACTCAACTTCTAAGTAAATCTTCTTTTCACATACTTTCATTATGGCATCTATCATTTCTAATTTTTAATTTATTGGAAGTGTTTTTAATTCAGTCATAGCCATTTAAACAAGTTCAATTTATGCTTTTTTTGGTTATCCTCTCTTTTTACTAAGTGATACTATTAATTCATTAAATTTTGAGTATTATTTTGTATCAAAACACAATCTAGCAATTTATTTAGTCACTTTAAGTGTTTCAACTAAATTATTGGCTAAACGAGCTGTCTTTTCTTTATTTAAAAGATCATCTATTTGTTTATCAAACTCATTCTCTTCAATGATCATTTGGATTTAAATTTAATTTAATGAATACCAATCTGAATTATTTTAATAATGATCTATGAAGGCAAATAATCTATTTTCAGCCATTAAGATTAGTATGCTCTAATTAGAATGGTTAATTCTGAAGATGATGCAACTACAAAGAAACATGAAGAAGGTAAGACTACATTTACACTGAAAATGGCAAAGTACTTATCAACTTCTGGAATTGGAGATTATTTAGATGGAATCAATGTACTTTTGAGTTTTCTTTTAACAGTTTTGCATCTAATTGATTGTTCATTTTGGGTTTAAGGTGGAAATTAAGATGTTGGAGAAGGATAAGCAATCATTACAGTAATTCAAATCATATAATAAGTTTTTAGATTCCAGAATTGATCTGTTATATCTATTTCCTTCTTGATTTTGTAATTAATTTCTACCTTTCAGAAAATAAATTGTTTTTTACATTTCAAACAACATCTTTAATTGAATACGTTTCAATATTTCCATCATTGCTTGCTAGATTAAATATAATAACTGGATACAAATATATATATATGTTGAGAGTATTACGTTTCTTATTATGTTATAAATTAGATAAAGTATTATAGAGACTGTCAATGGAAGGTATTTAATTGGTTTAATTTAGAGTATTTAGGTTAGCATACAAACCAATTGTAACTGTCATGGCAATAATAATGATCAATTCTTCAGTTCTTTATGTAGTTGAACAAGATTATTCAATAGTAGAATATATCTATTTTATGGTCGTAACAATATCTACAGTTGGATTTGGTGATGTATATCCAACAACAATCTATGGAAGATTTTCGATTATTGTTGCTATTTTGATAATGTTTCTAGTTTTGCCAACATAAGTTGAAATGTTAACTAGAGTATACAGTTTAAGAAGTTAATATGCAAGAAATAAATACATTTCAAAAAAAGAATCAGAACATGTTTTATTGCTAGGATCATCTTAAGTTGAAGGATTTAAAACATTTTTAAATGAACTTTATCATAGTGATCATGGAATGAATGATACAAATACTGTTATACTTTAACCTTGTGCACCTACTGAAGAAATGACTCTTCAATTGAAATAACCAGCATTATAATCAAAAGTAATTTATTTAGAGGGACATCCATTATAAAATAAAGATCTAGAAAGATGTAGTTCAAAAGATTGTAATTGTGTAATTGTTTTAGCCAATAAAACAAGTAGAACACCAAAAAGAGATGATTATCGTAATATCATTCATGCATTTGCTGTGAAATAATTTGCAAAAAAATAGAAATCCAGAAAAGGTGCACGAGTATGTTTGTAAGTACTTCAACCTTCTAGTAAAGATTTATATTTCAATTCTCTTGGTGGTCATGAAACTGATTAAGTTATATGTGTTGATGAACTTAAACTTTATCTTTTAGGAAAAACATGTTTATGTCCTGGTATTAATACACTTATATCATTTCTAATTTAATCATCTAAACCATCATATGATATTACAAAATATGATAAAAATAAAGGAGAATGGATAGATGATTATTTATGTGGAATGTAAAATGAAATCTATAGAGTTCCATTAGAATCTGTAGCATTTGTTGGTCTAACATTTAGTTAAGTAATTTTTGATTATAATAAAATAGATTTCATCAGCAATATATAAAGAATTAAATATTATTTTATTTGCTCTTGAAGTAGAATTAGAATCTGGCACCAGTGTATTTGTTAATCCAGTTGAATATCTATTTGAAGATTATTTACATTATGGTTATGTAATTGCTAATGAAATGCCTAATATTGATGAAATTTAATAGACAAAATTCCCTGAATATATTTAAAAGAATTATTGCTTTCCCAATTAATAAAGACATCAAATTAATAAAAATGCACTCTAATAAGAAGCTGAATACTTAAAGGAAATACTAAGTGAAGGTATTAAAGATGATTCATCTAAACATCCTGCTTATTATTAAGTCAAACCTTAAACTATAACAACAGGACTCCCTAAAGTTGGAGACCAAGAAAAATTTGAAAATCATTTTATTGTATGTGGAGTTGTTACTGATATGAAATATCTTATGATGCCACTAAGAGCTAGATCCTTAAAAAATATTTAACCAATTGTAATATTGAATTAAGATTTAATACCAACTGAGATACAACTACAAATTAATAAATTTCCTAAAGTATATTTTTAATAAGGATCTCCACTTAATACTGAAGATTTAAAAAAAGCTTGTATTTAAAAGGCTTCAGCTTTGGTGATCTTATAAAAATCTGCTGATTAAGAGGAAGGCTTATCTAATATTGTTGATGCTGATACAATCTTTATTTATAAGACAGTAAAGTTATTAAACTAAAATATCAATATAATAACTGAATTGGCTTCTATTTCAACTATTTCTTTTTTATAGATATCGAGAAATAATTATGTTTAAAAATATGATTGGTCTGTAAGTGAACCATTTGCATCAGGAGAAATTTATATATCCACTATGCTTGATACATTAATATGTTAAGCTTATTATAATCCATTTATCACCAGTATTTTTGATTAAATGATTTTAGGAAGTGCTTCAGTTAATAAAAAAGTAATTAAATATTTATATATATATTTTAGCATAAAAAATTATATTAAGCAACCAAATTATAGCAAAGCAATTTATTTCTAATTAATATCCCTCCAAAATATTAAGAGAAAACATTTGGAGAACTTTTTGAAATTTTACTTACTGAATAAAAAATGATACCAATTGGTCTTTACAGAGGTGAAAAAGTTAAAAATAACAATAAACCTTATGTTTTTCTTAAACCTCCTATGGATGTTGTTGTATCTAGTAAGGATAGATTGTATGTCTTAAGTGGAAAATAACCTAAAGAGCAAGAAAACATACTTGATAATGAAAAAAATTAAGGAAAAGAAACTGCATCCTAATATTACAATATTAAATCTAAACTATAGGGAGAGGAAGGAAGAGTTGATATTGAATTTTCAAGAGAATTAATGAAATTTAAAGATAAAATGTAAAGTTTTGTAAAAGGTTTAAATAAAATAAATAGTGAAGTATTTAATTAAGGATTGATTCATGAAGGTATTATTAATATATTTATAATATAAGAATTCATTTCAAAAGTAAGAGGAACGTTAAAAGAAGAATTAGCCAATCTAAATCCAGCAACTTGATATGTAATAATAATCACTAATTTATATATATATATATAAAGTATTTAAATCATTTTTAAACTCTTGTTAAAATAGAATATATAGCATTAATATGACATAGAGTCTATTTCTACAAACTTTTAATAATAAATTCTCTTGAATAACCAAATTACTCAATTTAAGAAATGACTCTCAAATCTAAATTGGAATTTTAAATTGAAACTTTATTTGATTTCAAATTTAACTCTCTAAGCCAAGAATGATTCAAGATTTCAATTAATGTTATTCTTAAT